TCTGTGGGCTTGGAAGGCGTGGCAGTAGTTTCTTTACCACGTGAAGCTGTACCATACGGAAATGTATTAAGACCAAGGTTGTAGAGACACGAAAGACCCGGAGAAAAGTGTAAGGAGCGAGAAGAGCGAAGGAGCTATGTTACCTAAGAACTCTTCGACATCAGCCTTCACTATTCGTCCTTCAGGACCTGTGCCTTTGATGCTTGAGAGAGGTACCTAATGTTTTTAAGGGAAACGTAAGAGATAATTAAGAGCCTGGAGATTAACCACAAGAGCTTTAGTAAATCCTTTTTGGTGGAAACTAACATTATTATCTTCAGCCAACTTTTTGGCAAGAGGACTAGCAAAAATACGATCTTCTGAAGGAGTAGAGCTTGGCTTGGAAGTCTTGGCTTCAGGAGCACTGGCTGGCTTCTCGACCTTCTCAACTTTCTCTTCCTTAGGTGGGGAAGGAGCTGGTTTTTCTTCAGGAGCAGCAGGAGGAGTGCTAGATGAAGGGGTGTAATCTTTGAACTTTTGAATATCTTCTTCATCCTCAACTGTAATAGCAATCACCTAGTCGGACAAAGACACAGAACCGATTTATATATTATTCTACAAATACGATGAAGATGTTTGCCAATTATAATGCCTCATTCAATAATATTCAACCCCTAGATACAAAAGGAAGTAAAGTTCACAGTCTCCAAAAGCCAGAAACTATTATCATACCTCTCCAACTTGAATTTCTTTTGTCCCTTCCTCTTTCACTATCTTGGCAAGATAACCCTCTTCCATGCATTCCATTTCAACGGTTGCTTTGTCCTAAAATATATAGCTTGAGGTTAGTGTTATATTCCTTGGAAAGTTAGTAATAACAAAGAAGATGAGGTTCAATCTAAATTAACATTACAGTTTCAACTTCACAAAGCACTTCACCAGGAGCAACTTTATCACCTTCTTTCTTCAGCCACCTGGCAATGTTACCCTGAAGTTTGGAAAGATAGATTCAGTATAAAGATTAAATAACTAACAACGAAAACTATAGTAAGGATGTAGTCGGAGGTCCATGCCTCAGTCATTGTTGGGGAAAGAGAAGGCATTCCGATCTCTTGATGAGGAGGAAGATCTGTAACATATTTTAGAAGTTCTTGGTAAAACGAGCTATGTGCATATGAGCAAGCTTGAAGCCTTGAAGTTACAAAAGTAAGAAATAAACTGAGGATGAAGAACTATCTACCTGAACCGGATGAAAACCCTCTTACTGATCGCATCTGGGAGCTGAAACTCAACGAAAGAAGCTTATAGTTAGGACAGACGTATCTATTTAGACAGGCAGACATTTAGGCAAAGAATTGAGAGGAGCAACTACCTTATATATTCTCTAAAGAAGGTTGGTCCTGTCATTGATTTTGTGCTCATTGCTGAAATACCACCAGGCATTGGTACCTATAGAACAGAGAAGAAGATTATGCTTATTAGACCTGATTTTAATGACATAAATGCCCAAGGAAACTGAAGAGCAAGAGCTTACATTGCTGGCACTACATCTCGAAATCCTCTCAACCGGGGAATAATTCAATCGAACCTTGAGCATATCTGAAAACCAAAACAGAAAAAAAAACACTGAAGCAAGCAACAAAGGATACACTTAAACATATTCAATTATCAGTTTCATGATCACTTAAACAATGAGAATAACTGTATACATTCATTCATCCATTCATCAAATGGGCTATAAGGAAGAGGACACTCATTATTACCTTCTCTTCCAGTGAGAGAGGGCTGAGTACTGTTGGAGAAGCCACGCACTGCCACAACATGCTCACGTCGCAGCAAAGTGGAAACATGTTTCAGCTGTCAAATAACACAATCATCATCAAGTGGTGTTTAAACAAAGTGACAATTACTCTGCTGTAAAGGTAGAGACTTTTCTATAGCTATTCATAGAAAACACACAATTGAAGATCATAGAACCAAAAAGCTACTACCTTTATACAATATTCAATCAAACAATGCCCAAAATGAAAAGAACAATCAATTGGATTAGGACAAAACCCAGAAACTCAATCAACACCCTGAACCAGAAAATCGATGATTCAGACTCAGTTTCATCAAAACATGATCATCGTAAGGAGTAAAAACTCGATCAAAAATCGAAACGGGTAGTTAGGGAATAGGAAAATGAGAAGAGAGGAACGAACATAAACCTTCTTGGAATGATTGATGATGATACGGGATGCGTAAACCATTTTGTTTATCGCAGAGAGATCGAGATTGATTTTGATATTTTCCTCTGTGATTTTTGTTTATCGTTTTTTTTTGGCTGCGACTTGTTTCTCTGTGATTATATTCTAAGAGAGCTTTTACGCCTCACCAAAAGACAGCGTGCGTTAGTGTGGGGCATGTAAATGAACGGCATGGATCTGTCAAACTATATGGCCGACAAGATTAACTCCATTAATGGGCCTAGTAGGCCCGTTTTAATGTAAATGGGTTTTAAAAATCTAAATGTTCGTTCTATTTTCATTGCAATTGTCGTTCTGCACAAGTCTTTTGACAAACATAGTAAAATAAAAGTTTAAAATGGTGACTTTTTTTCTTTCTTACTACTGCTGAATTCTCTTTTCTTATTTTTAAAGGTAGTTCGAGTTTTAGTTATCATGAACAAGGAAGTAGATTTAAAACAACTATTGCAATTATATTTCTCCATCACCTCTCTAGGTTTGATTATATTTATGCGTATGTAACATTACCCAACTTCGTTTCTCTTCTTTTAAAAAATATATGATCAGATCGTCCAATGAGTCTTGACATGACTTGTAAAATATGGGGATTGGATTTGTTGGAATCATTACCTGATTAGAAATTAAAACAATAGAGAGATAATTAAATGTGTTAGTAGAGATAAATACTTTGTTCACTTGAGTATTCTTCTCCTTCCTAATATTTGTCTTTGTAACGGGAAAGCTACTTTTATCATAACACACGTCAGATGTCACAAAAGCAATCAAAAAGTGGGCAGGGGATAGAAAGCTTTGTTCGGTATAGAAAATAAAAATGAAAAGAATATTTTCTCTTTTGTGATTAGAAAATAGTAAGAGCATCTCTAAAATACACCATATAATTTTAAATATGAAGTTTTTCATTCTTTAAAAAATAACACAAACTTCAAATTTGAAATTTTATTTTTTATTTGCATTTGAGTCCTACAATTACACATTATATTTATAATTTTATATATTTTATGGTTTATCATTTTAATCTTTAAAAATTCTTATCTCATTAATATTCCAAATTTTTTATATAAATTTAAACTTTACACATATTTTTTTTAAACAACAAAATAAGATTTAAAATAGTTAAAATTAAATCTAGACAACAATATTACAAGACTTAATGTGGTATTTTAGGTTAATATTTAATTATATATTTCTATTAATAATTTGATATTTTAGTATAACATTTTATCTTTTAATATTGTTATAATATTTTTAATATGTGTTAGTTATTTATAAAAGTTCTATGAATTTAAATTAAGGGAGAATTTCAATTATACCACTTTGGTGGTACCACTTTTCATGTTTACCATCAACAAAAGAACATTTTCAAAAATACACATTTTATTAAAGGATAAAAGACTCTTATATCTTTATTCTTTATATATATACATAAAATAAATATTAAATAAAATATTAACCCTAAACCTTAAAACATCAATTCTAAACTCTAGACCCTAAAACATAAACCCTAAACCCTAAACCCTAAACCCTAAACCCTAAAATATCAATTCTAAACCTTAAACCCTAAACTCTAAACCCTAAAAGGTAAACACTAAACCCTAGACTATCAATCCTAAACCCAAAACCCTAAATTCTAATAGTATTTTGAGTATTAAAATTTTAATGGTAAAGTTGGTTAGTGTAAAATTGAAAAGTGGTATCTTGAAAGTGTTATTTCTGGCAATTTCCCTTAAATTAATTATGACAAATATAAGAATCATAACATAAAATATAAATATTTTAAAATTAGGTTCGAGGATTTCGTGTTCCTATTTTTTCCACTTAAATAACTTCCTTTTCTTAATACAGTTGTTAAACTTGAATTAAGACAATGGAACAAGTCATGTCTTTGGGAAAATCCTTGTCCGGAAGCAAGAGGGGTAATTAAGAAGACTAAGCAGGGGTAAAACCGGAATTCCAAAGAACAGGAGAAGGTTTCCTATCGAGAAAGGGAACCCTAACACGACTCATGCTAAGAAAAAAAAAGGAAGTATATAAAGATAATAACGCGTTTTGCTCGCAGCCTCTTTTACGATTCGTTTTCAGTCTCTCAAAAGCCTCTCTCAATCTTCGCTCTCTGTCTTTCTCTCTCCCTTCGCCGGTTTAGATCCGAGTTTGGGAGATTCAGCCTCCCTAAGTTAAAACCTAACAAAAACATCACTCTACTTACTCTCAAGGTTAGCATCTCTCTCTTTTTACTCCTTCTCTGTGATTCTTTTTTTTTTTTTTGGCTTCTGATTAGATATGGTTCCAAAGTTCAAAAATTTCTTAGATTTATATACAAATCTAAAAACTTTATGGATCTAACTTTGTTTTTTCTTCTCTCTGTTAGACACTCCGAGCAGAGATGATGATGATGACGAATATTTATTTATTTTTAGATCTAAAATCCGTAGATTTAATAGTGAATTTATGTTTGTAGATTTAAGTAATAATATGATTGGTTTAGAAGACCCCAAGTTTCTGAGAGTAAAATCCTAACTTCAAGCTCTGTTTTTTTTTTTGTGTTTAGACCATAAAGACTGTCTCTTTAAATCCCAATCTCCCTTTTGTTTGTTTTACTTGAAAGACTGTTAATTTGGAGAAATAGATTTATCAGTGTCGACAAATTATGTTCCTTTTTTAAGAACATTATCTCCGGACATCGTTAAAGGAAGATTTGCTTGTTTTCCCCCTCTTGTGTTGTGATTTGGTTTATGTTATTGTCTAAAATTGTTGTTTTTGTTTCTGTGTATGTGTAGTCATGGCAGGATCCGCACCAGAAGGCACTCAATTTGATGCTCGTCAGTTTGACCAAAAATTGAACGAAGTGTTAGTTCTCTTGTCATATTAGACTCTTTAGTTTAACTCTCTCCACATGTTAGTTACTAATTTGTTTTGATATTGTAACAGTCTTGAAGGACAAGATGAGTTCTTCACCTCTTATGATGAGTCTCACGACAGCTTTGACGCCATGGGTCTCCAAGAGAATCTCCTCAGAGGCATCTACGCTTATGGTACGTTTTTACTTTTCTTTGTGATTTTATCTTTCTTTCTCTTTTTGAAAACTTCATCTCATGTGTGTCTGTGATAGGTTTTGAGAAGCCATCTGCTATTCAGCAAAGAGGGATCGTCCCATTCTGCAAAGGCCTAGACGTGATCCAACAAGCCCAATCCGGTACCGGTAAAACCGCAACTTTCTGCTCTGGTGTCTTGCAGCAGCTAGACTACAGCCTTGTCCAGTGCCAGGCTCTTGTTCTTGCTCCAACCAGAGAGCTTGCTCAGCAGATCGAGAAGGTCATGAGGGCTCTTGGTGACTACCTTGGCGTCAAGGTTCATGCATGTGTCGGTGGAACCAGTGTCCGTGAGGATCAGCGTATTCTCCAAGCTGGTGTTCATGTTGTTGTTGGAACTCCAGGGCGTGTCTTTGACATGTTGAAGAGGCAATCTCTCCGTGCTGATAACATCAAGATGTTTGTTCTTGATGAAGCTGATGAAATGCTCTCTCGTGGTTTCAAGGACCAGGTTCGTTTACGTTTCAAACCTTTCTAATTAATATATAGACTTAACATTTTTTTATTATAAAATAGCATACGTTTTTATTTATATGAACATTAGTCCATAATAATATTATATTTTTACTAATTACTTAATGTATTATTCTATAAAATATTTGAATTTTTTAGTAAGTTTCTTATATATCTTTTCTCAAAATATTTTGATAACTAAAAATAAAGTTTAATCTATTGTTGAGATTGTTTTATTATTAATATCTTTAAGAACTAATAAAATTCTCAAAGATTTCTAATGACAATTTATAAATAACAATGTTTGTTCTGTATTATGATCATGTTTTAATAAGATATATGAAGATGAAATTATATTTAGAATTAAATTCTTGCTGTAATGTTGTTGTCAGATCTATGACATATTCCAGCTTCTCCCACCAAAGATCCAAGTAGGTGTCTTCTCAGCAACAATGCCACCAGAAGCTCTCGAGATCACAAGAAAGTTCATGAGCAAGCCAGTGAGAATCCTAGTCAAGCGTGACGAGCTCACTCTCGAAGGTATCAAGCAGTTCTACGTCAACGTTGAGAAGGAAGAGTGGAAGCTCGAGACACTCTGCGACCTCTACGAGACCCTCGCCATCACTCAGAGTGTCATCTTCGTGAACACTAGGAGAAAGGTTGATTGGCTCACTGACAAAATGAGAGGACGTGACCATACGGTTTCGGCTACTCATGGAGACATGGACCAGAACACTAGAGACATTATCATGAGGGAGTTTAGGTCTGGCTCATCGCGTGTGCTTATTACCACTGATCTGTTGGCTCGTGGTATTGATGTTCAGCAGGTGTCTCTGGTGATTAACTACGATTTGCCGACTCAGCCTGAGAACTACCTTCACCGTATTGGAAGAAGTGGGAGGTTTGGGAGGAAAGGTGTGGCGATTAACTTTGTGACGAAGGATGATGAGAGGATGCTGTTTGATATTCAGAAGTTTTACAATGTGGTTGTTGAGGAGCTGCCTTCCAACGTTGCTGATCTGCTGTGAAGGAGAAGTTCGCACTGTCACCTGAGAAGAAAGGTTTACTTGTTTTCTAAGGCACTCTTTGATCTGATTTTTCACCTCTTCTGTTCTACTACAAACATATCTCTCTCTTGTGGCCATTTTTATTTTTAAAAATCATATGGAGTATTTGTTTCATTTCGCTGGTTTGTTGTCTTTTGTATCAAATATTTTCGTGGGAGTTTTGTTATAAAACATTTTCATATCTCGGTGCCCAAGTAGCTCACGTGCTGTATTCGCCTGTTGCTAGCTTAACTATTTTCAAATTGAGATTATTGGTCCGAAAGTTTGTATTTAAGAAAGGCTTAAGTGGTTTGAAAGCTCTGCTTAGATTATTTAAGAAAACACGAAATGCAAAATTTATTGAATTTGATTTTAAAATAAAATAAAGTGAGAGATTTCTTTAGTTAATTCCAGTGTGAAACTACCTGTTTGGACAAGTCCACGTGCCAACAGAATGAAAATGGTTGGGGGGAGCATCACATCCACACAACACAAACCTAACCACGACAAGCATAGATAGGAAAAATAAAAGATGAAAAAGTCTAGTGCTTCACACTAATGTTACGTATTCAAAGTTGTTTTCAATTTGTTAAGTAGTATTAACTTAATTGTTCTAACGTTGATTAAAAAAACGTGGGTCCTTGACCAACTCCGCATGAAGTTGTTAATTGATTACCAAGAAAAGTCGCCTTTGATTGATTATTCGAGAAAACAAACAATCATTTCGGTCCTCATATAAACATTGTAAAAGTCGCCTTTTACAACTTTGTAAAAGAACAGAACTCTATTTGTTCGTTAGACCAAATCTCAAATCACGGAGACACCTCTATGGATAATTATTACAAAGAAACGGAACCATCAGCCGCAACCGCAGCCTCTGGAAACTACCCAGCTGCCGATCAGACAAACGAATACCAGATGAAGGTAAAGAAAAGCAAAAGCGTTCCAAACGCTGATCGTGGGGCGTCAAGAAGCTGGAGTTTCAGCGATCCGGAATCGAGGAGGAAGAGAAGAGTCGCTGGTTATAAGGTTTACTCAGTTGAACAGAAGATGAAAGGATCCATTAGAAAAAGCTTCAAATGGTTCAAAGATATTATCGGTATTTCTTGAAACATATTTTCTCCACTCTCTTTCTTTCTTTCTCTCTATATATGAAAAGTATATGAATCTCTTCTTGCTGAGTGTATGTTAATGTTATATACCTGTAAACAATACAGGAAACAAGATTGAATTTTCTTTCACTCTCTCTTGCATTTATATCGTATAAAGAGTTTGAATGAGACACAGATAATGAATGAAATAAGTTCTTCATATCTACCTCTGAATATGACAATAATTTTTTTTTCCCAAAACTATTTATAAGAATCTATTTTTCTTTGTTTGTATACACACAAACTCTCACAGCACAAGATTCTTTATTTCCTATCATTCATCTTTCTCAAGAAAGAGGAAACCAGGAGAGGAAAAAAACACTTACTGGATCAACTATGATGTGTGGTGGACGTTGTCGTCTCACTTGATGCTGAGGCGCTCGTACCACTCATACCGCTCATAACGCTCAGAATAGAGTGTTTCCTTTGGAGCCTCCCTCTCAGCTGGCGGATCTTGGCATCTACACGAGCTGTGAATCCAATCTTGGTCTTCTGTCTAGCCTTGGATCTCTCTCTTGTCCACATACGTTCGTCCTGGACGTCGATTTTGAAATGCTTGATCTCTTGGATGATGTGGTGGTCCAGAGGGTTTACCGATCTCTGGAACGAGATGTGAGCTAAGTAAGGAAGTGTTGTGGCGGCTATGACTAGCAGTGTTGTGAGCCAGAAGATTGGTGCTGGTGCTAGAGCTTCGAGGAGCATGTGGAAGATGTTGCCTGATATTTTGGGAGGTAACATGCCGAAGAGGGCGAGGAAGATGTACCAGGTGAAGATACTTCCCCAGATTAAGGCGTGTTGGATCCAAGTGAAATGGCTCATGGTTAAAGCGATCTGTACATTCACTGACCAGATGATGCAAGTGAACATTGCGGTTCCCATTGCGTTCATGTCTGCTGTTTGGCCATTGGCACAGAAAGATTGGACATGGAAGATGCCAATGTTGAGGGCGAAGATGACTACTGAAGCGTAGACTCCATTTCCCATCCACCCGAGGATTCTGTACCAGTCGAAGAACAGGTTCTTGGGGCCTTGCTGGTACAATGCAGGGAACTATAGAGAGAGCCAAAGAGAAATTTCAGGTTTGAAAAAGGGTCTGAGGTTTAGATTGGGAAAATATAACTTAATAGAGAGAAGTAAACCTGTAAGCAAACTTCCGAAGACACGTCTTGCTCAAAAACTCCAAGGGAGATGACCGGGAGAGATGTGAGAATAACATTGAACAGCAACAAGTAGGAGTCATTGTATATGGCTTGACCAGAAAACCCGGTGAACGCCTCGAAGTAGAATAGAGTTAGACCAAATGTTATGTTCTTGTAGAAGAAGTAACATATCTGTCAGAAAAGAGTATGAATCAAGATCAGGTTGATATCTTGTTTAATGGGCAAAGATGCAATAATCTGTACATGAGATCACAGATAGTTACCATCTGGGCTATTCTTTTGTAGCACCAGTGCCCGTGGACAACAAGTAGTCTCTCTAGAAACCGGAACTGAGCTATGGAGAAGTCGCTCGCCATCACAGCCTGCAAAAAAAAAAACGGATTAGCAAAGGAACAGACCAACATAGATATGTCTCTCCATGTATGGGAAAAAGGGTAAAGTTTGATTACCTGCATGCCTTCCACGCCACTGATACCTATCCCTATATCAGCTTCTTGAATCATTCCAACATCATTCGCACCATCACCAATTGCCAAAGTTGTCTTTCCTGTTCCTTCTTTTGCTAGCCTCGTTACCTAGAAAAACACACAAAATAAGTTACTCCCAGCAACCTTAAGAAGCTATTATTAGGACTTGTGGTGAATCAATCTTACAAGTGCTTTCTGCTTTGGAGAGACACGACAGCATATCACTGACGCACAGTCAACTGCCAGGGCAAGGAACTGATACTTAAGACCATCCTCCAAAGCATATGTAAGTGTCTTCCCATCAATGATCAAGGCAAACGCTGCATGTGGATCTTTCTCTAGTTTGATCATCTGTGAAGCATTTAAAATCTGCATCGAAATGCTCTCTCTCGCAGCCTGGGCATTAAAAACAACAAAAAGAGGTCTCACATGAAATGCAAGTGTCCACTGAAACAGTAGTGTAGGTTTTTTATAGCACATAGCCTAATACATACAGCTTCGGGGTCTTGGGATGATCCCTCCTCATTTTTAAGTGCTATGGATATCTGCTTCATACCCTGTCGCAGTAAACTGCAGGCATATCTGCATTTGGAAAACAAAATAACTTAATGCAGTTAGTATCAATAATAAAAAAAAAAACAGTTTCGGGAGTATTTTTTCAGCAACATAGAAGAATAACACACCCTATATTAATTGCTGTCTCCATCTTATCTCCTGTCAAAACCCATATCTTCAAACCAGCTTGGGCAAGTTTATCTATGCATTGTGGAACCTGAAACGAACAACAAACAGTAAGCTGAAAAAAATGTTCAAAATTTAGCGTCTTGATAATAATCACAAATAAACTTCCACTGCATACCCCTTTCTGGAGTTTGTCTTCCACTGCAGTAGCACCGACAAGAATCAAATCCTTCTCCATCGTATCAGATACCTTTTCGAGCATTTCATCTCTGTCTGCTCCAACTGAAGTTTTGGCTTCATGAAATTCATTGTTCCATACCGAATACTCATTCTCATCCAGCTTTCTATAACTGAGCGCCAACGTTCGTAAACCTGCTTCACCGTATCCATTCAAATGCTTGGAAGTGGCTTCCAGATATGTTTTACCATTCTTGGATAACCGGTCAAAGATTATGCTGCAAGTTTTTTAGCTAAAGCATTATATTTTACTACAGAAGAACTGATATGATATATGGAAGTGCTAGAAGTTATGTGGCCCAACCTGTCAGCACCTTTACAGAGTAGAAATATCTGCCCTTTCTCATCGCGGACGATTACAGACATTCTTTTTCTTTTGCTAGTGAAGTCCAAAACATTTAAAACTTTGTATTCTCTGTAAAGGATCCTGCAGGTGGTTAGATGTATGTTCACTGAAGCCGATAGAAATAACTGAAAGATTTAAGACTACAATCTCACATTTCAACTGGTTGGCCTGAGTGTCGTTCATTGATAAACACACTTGATTGAGTTCTTTTACTAAACCCAAAACCAAACTCCCCAGCGGCAACAAGGAAAGCGACTTCGTCAGGAGACTCTGCTTCATAAGTACACTTTCCAGTATCTTCATCCACCTCGGGAATAGCAGTGTGACAAACCGCCAGTATACGCATAAACATCAAAATGTCATCTGAATTGGGTTCATATAACCAGTTTCCATCCATGAGACGCTTATCCTCAAAACTGAACCCCTTGACTCCACCAGTGGAATGCGTCTGATCCCTGTCGTCTGTAGCAGTGATTACAGTCTCCAACTCAATATCTGATGGTGACCTGCTGGGAATCTTAGAATAGCTATGTATCCTTCCTCTGGTCCTTGGAGGGTCAGTCAGGTCTTCACCCTGCTCCTCGTCGAGATCCATCGCCATCTGCTTTGCAGCAGCTAGTTCTACTTCACTGGCACGAACACCATAAGAAGTGCCCGCGATGGAGCATTTCAGAAAGTCCATCTGGTTACATGTCAAAGTTCCTGTTTTATCAGAAAGGATGGTGTCAACTTGTCCCAACTCTTCATTCAAATTCGATGTGCGTGCTTGTGCTGGAGTCCCGCTCTCGCTATCATACATGTGCAAGTCTTGATTTATGAAAGTTGCCTGCAAAACCTTAACGAGCTCGATGGAAACATACAGTGAGATGGGAATCAAGTACCCATAAAGCAAGACAGCAGTGATCAGATGAACAACCCAAGCATGAAAAGGATTTCTCGGATTTGTTAAACGCTCGGGCTTGTCTGGTCGTAAGTACCACCACTCTCCCATATGCATCCTTGTCATCACTGCAAAACCCAGTGAGCTGATGAAGGAGACGAGCACAAGGAGAGCAAAGAGAGAATATATGATATAATCCATCCTCTTTTCAATTCTGCTTCTTTTCGAAGGAGACTTTGTAGAATTCTGCATCACTTTCGTGTCATGACCAGTAAAAATCGCCACTCCATAGACATAAGACGTGTTCCTAAGCTTGGAGTCTCTCAACAGAATCTGACTAGGATCAAGCGGATAAACCTGACCATCATACTCAAAATTTCCAACAAACGTATACAGATTAGGATTAGGATCTTCACATTTAATAGTCCCGGAAAAGCTCTGAAAAGCATCATCCCTCTCCAAAGGCAATGTAACATCCAAACACCTCTTAACCTTCAAATTCGTCTCACCATCCAAATTCATCGTCTCAACATAACAAATCCCATCCTCATAACTCGAAGACAACAAAAGCAAATCCGCAGGAAAAAACTGATCTTTCTCCACTTTCACCACATCACCAACACGTATCTTCTTCCACTTCCTCCTCCCAAACTCCCCATCCCCTCTATGCACACTCCCTTTCCTCGAGTTCACTTTCACATCCTGCATAAACCTCCTCCAATCCTCCAACGCCTCTTTCCCCATACTAAGCCCCACCACAAAGATCAACGGCGCGATCATACTCCACTTGTTAAACGGAGAGAGAGGGAACACGGAGAGGATCGCAGCTACCAGGAAATAAAAGTTCGCAACGCGGTGGAATTGCTCGTACAAGCATTTAGGTAAGAAAGTGATGAGGTTGTACCTAGTGGTGGAGACGTAGTTTGATGTGTATCTAAGGACTTTAGCGAGATGCATCTGAGGTTGGTTACAGTGGACGATTCTAGTGTATCCTGGTCCGGTTATGATGTGAGGTCCTTGATCTTCGAGTGTTTTTGGTCTAAGGCATTTGAATGTGTAGAAATGGCTTTTACGGATTCTTGATCTTATTCTTCGACGCCCCATTGTTAAAACACGAATTGAAGATCAGCTCTCGTTGTTCATAGCCACTGTGGAAAAAAATCAAAATCAAGGAAACGTTTCTGGTTA